TTTTTTTTTTTTTTTTTTTTTTTTTTCAGTGTAGTTTTAAATGATTGAAGCTATTATTAATAATTAATTAATTCAAATCAATAGGTCACCGATAATTTTATGCGTCTTGATGATGATCTAGCAAATGTCCCAAAGTTTGAAATTTCCGATGATGATTACTCGAAGCGGCCTGGTAAATTTTATTTCCAAATTATATAATTAAATATTTTTCACGTGTAAATTATCTATAAGTAATTTTAACTTTTTCTAGACACTGTCAAGGCATTTTTAGCTAAAAATAAGTTAGGAAAGTACAACGAAGAAGAAATGAAGCAGAAGGAAGCAGATAAAAAACGTGAAGAAGAATCAGAAATTGAATGGACGAAGAACTTCAATCCAGGTGATCGGTGTGAAATAAGTGTGCCGTCACAACCGAAAAGACGTGGTACAATTATGTATGTTGGTGAGTAATTAATTTGATTTTTTACAATCAAAAAGTCAGCTATTGAAATTTTTGTTAATTTATTTAATAATTTTTTTGCAATTAAATTATATAGGTAAAACAGATTTTAAGGAAGGTTTGTGGGTTGGTGTCAAGTACGATGAGCCTCTTGGAAAAAATGATGGGTCGTAAGTGTTTGTTTGTAATTGCATTAATAAAATCTGAGTAAAAAAAATTAATCAATTTTTTTGTTCCAGGGTAAATGGAAAAAGGTATTTTCAATGTCCGCCTAAATACGGTGGATTTGTTAAGCCTCTTTATGTGAAAAAAGGAGATTTTCCAGAAGAGGATTACGATTTAGATGAAGAACTTTAAAAATAAAAAAAAAATCATTTTTTTATACGTCCAATTTCTACTGCTTAAAATTATTTGTATCATTTGTTAACAAAATAGTTTTATAATTATAAGAAAGTGATTTAAATAAATACTCAAATATTTGCTTTATAAAAAATTAATATAAATTGGATTTAATCAAAGAATTATTTTATAATCCTTACATTTTTTTTAGTATTATATACTATTTAATTAAAAATTTTTTTTCTTCGACAGATCAAAGTAGAGGAATAAAAAAAATAATTTAAATTTTGTATCGGAGTTCTATGTGACTTTCTGACTTTTAGTATTTTCTTCTCTTAATTATTTCCGGCTTCCAATTAATTGGATGACTTTCTTCAGTCTGAAAAAAAAAATTCAATGTATTAGAAGAAATTACACCTAGTATTTATATTATTAATCGCATAAAAATATTTATCAACTTACAGCGTTGGGATCTTCCTTGTAAACTTTTATTGTTTTATCCGCCTCGGTTGTTATTAATCTTGACCCAGAGATATCAAACGTAGCACTAAATACCCCTGCCTCGCTGTCCATAGACCCAGGTTGTACAGGTGCTTGTAATCTTTGGAAGTTGTATCTATAAAATAAGTTAAATTTTTTTTATTTTTATTAATTTTATTAAAATCTATGTGGTGAATGGACCACATAACGAATAGTAAACCTTGTGAATAATCTAAATGGTAAAGTGGAATTTTGCGGTGTACATTCAGTGCATTTATGTCAAACATTAAAAAACAATTACTCATTTACATATAATCCACACAGAGTTATTCTCGTTTTTCTTTTCTTTAATTAAATTTTAATTAATTTTCTCTAATTAATGTCATTTAATTTTAAATAATTTCTTCTGATGTACATATATTGCCGATAGACGTATGTTGATTAATAAATAAATAAATGAATGAATGAATTATCACTCAATAAGTATAACAGAGATCTAAATAAATTTATCTTTAAGTTAAATATTCTCTATCAAAATTGTACACAATTATTCATTTAAATTCAAATGAATATCAATTTTCAATCAAGATTAATCATCACTCTTGAATTATTTGTGCATTACAAAAAGCTAAAATAATTTATTAATTTAATTTGACATTATATTAGTAATAGAATATTAATCAAAATTTAATTTATTCTATATAATGGATCTAATTGTTGATTTCAATGGTTATGATTCACCCGATGGAAACTTTGCTATAAAAGAATACAGTTTTCGCAGCTTATTTCCAGACATAAATGGAAATTATTATGCAGCTCACAATATAGTAACGCCTCCACTTCTTAATAGATTTTACAATCAAGAAGAATATAAAAAATGTTATGAACCATATTATGAAATACACGGGATCCCTTGGGATTCTGGAGTCACTAATTATTCATTTATGAACACAATTTTAAGATTACATCTAAGAGAAGCAAGTACTATTTACCTCAGAAATTTATTTATGAAAAATTTAATAACACATTTATGCGAAGAAGAATTTAATGTCATATGTCTGTACGATTATGGCTATGAATTTAACCCACCGATGAATACAAATTGTCATTACCATGAGAACCCTGATCGTAATAATTGCGCTAATGACAATGCAATCAACATGATGAATTGGCTACAGAATACTCAATTTTATCTACCAGAAACGCGGAATAAATTTATAAACCTGAAAAATAAATTCTTGGGATTCAATCAAATGGAATATAAGTCAGCAGACGAAACTAGTAACCATCCTCGAAGTAAAAAGAGAAAATTAAACGAATTTATCTGATTAATTATGAAGATAATTCAAGAGTATTATGATGTAGTATAAATTATACTTTAATAAATTTATAAAATAAAATATTTTAATTTTTTTCTTACCCTGTACGGAAGTCCCACATATACATGGTACCATTATCAGCACCTGATACTAAAACCCCTTCAGGATTTATGGCCAGACAATTAACGATCGAATTATGTCCAGATAAATTTTGAATAAATTTACCTTCTGGACACTTCCATTCTTTTATATTATCAGGAGATGCTGAAGCGAACATATTTCTGTAATAATAAAAAATAAATTAATAATACTGAAATTAGCTAAAAATTGTCAATTTTTTTAATTACTATAACAAGCCAATTAAAGTATAAGACCTAGTTATTGACACTTGCAATTTTATTGTAACTACAAAAAAACAAATCAACTCTGATAAATTAATAAACATCATTTTTTAATTATAAATTTTAAGATAATTGCTTTTTTGAAAACATTTTATTGCTTTAATTAGAATAAAATTGCAAGTGTCAAATAACTAGGCCAATGTCAATAACTGGGTCTTTCCTTATATTAAAAAATGGGCTTTTACCTTCTATTAAAAAATTTCTACTAATAATTTTTTTTAATTTTCATAAATTGAATTTTTTTAATAATAATTTTTTTTTTTTTTAATTGTAAACATCAAAAAAAGATAAAATAGAAATCCAAAAACATGAAAGCCAATTTTTTTCCAACTTTTAAAGGCAAAAAAGCTATCGAAATCTTTATTTTTTTCTTTTACGACATTTTTTATCATAAATGCGCCGTAAAAATAAGCAGAATCAAAAAAAAAAATTAAAAAATGTTAATTTTTCACCTAGTTATGGCCCAAAATGGCGTTGACCCTACTTATAAATAATAACCATAATTTCATTGCTATAAAATTCTAATGTCAATCTTTCATTGTTACTGGTTGTAATAATTTACCAGTTGCTATTACGTCAGCTGAGACTTTAGATGACTTTCGTTATAAATGTTATTTGAATTTGTTAGAGCTAGAAAAGAGTTAGTATGATTCAAGTACTTGATTGTAAACTGATTTTGAATGTGAGAAAATGTCTGTGATGATTATTATGATTGCTGCTGATATGGTTATTATTACTTTTGCAGATATTAGTTTCATCAATATTATTTTTATTCAGGGTATTATTATTATTATTACTTTAATTTTTTTACTTATATATTCTCAACAATTTTTCTAATCATTTGGATTTGTGATCAAAAGGAGAATTATCTCCATGATCAATAAATAAATAAATAAACTTTAGTGTATTAATAAATGATTACCAAATTTTTTTCTTGTTATTAAACCCAAAAAAGTAACTTACAGCATCGGATGGAAACAGACCGCACGGACACTTTTCTTGTGGTTAGTCAAAGTGGCTCTTGATTTACCAGCAGCCAAGTCCCATAGTCTAATAGTACAATCATGACTGCCAGTAATAACTTGGGGCTCTGCAGCTTGACTAATGACACTTGCAACAGTATTTGTGTGTCCAGTTAAAGTGTGGACGTTTGCTTTGGTCCGCATGTCCCAAATCCTTGCAGTGGCATCTCTTCCGGCAGTTGTCAGTACGTCGATTGTTGGGTGCAGTGCCAAACTATAAACCGCAGACAAGTGACCGTGATAATGCCGAATCACCTTATTATATTCAAGGTCCCAGCATTTGACCTGTCTATCTTCTCCACAAGAAAACAAGTACGGATGACGATTCGAAAAGGCAAGGCCTCTTACGCTGCTGATGTGTCCTGTTAATGATACTTTCAGCTTACCACTTGCCAGATCCCATATCTGTCAAAAGTTATTCATAAACTAAGATTAGATGTTCAAATTAAATGTAATTTAAACGTTTACCTTTATCACTCGATCAGCAGAACCTGTAGCGAACCATTCATTACCTGGCTCAACAGCACAACATCTCACCCAACCTAAATGACCACTGATTACCCGGTACAACTTCCAAGGAGGGTGCCACTGGGGCTTTAACATAAGCGGTGTTTTCTTTACTGGCATCGCCACCGTATTCGATGCACTGGATGTAGCTACAGCTGAGCTTGGTGTTGCTGCTGGTGTATTAACAGCCACTAAAGATGTACTCTGAGCTCCTACAAATGATTCATCTGTAAAATAAATATAAATTTATTTTATTTACATTTTTACCTTCATTGTCATTATTTATATTCATATTAAATTCAAATATCACTTAAAATATTTTTATCTTTTGCGATAAATAAATAAATACACATGACTTATATAATAATTCTAATTATCTTCAAAGAATATTAAAAATAGTATTCCTTAATAGCTGTTCTATTATTTAAAAAAAATTAGATGTTAAAAAAAGTAATTTACACTCCATAAAAAAATTGATATATTTATAAGTGATTTAGAAATTTAATTATATGATTTATTTATTAAAAAAATTATTATTATGTTATGAAAAAAAAAAAAAACTTACCACCGGGTGGAGGCGGATCTAAATTTTCATTTGGATTTTTGGCTTTAACTGGTTGATTTTTTACTTTGTTTACTATGTCGCCATAAGTATCTCGTGCTTTGATTGATTTCTTCTTCCGTTCTCTGTAAAATTCATTAATCAGTTGCTTTAATAACTCCTGCGACTAGTAATAATAAATATGAATAAATTAATTAGTTAGTATCAATGAGATTAAGACTTACAACTCTGGATCAATCGGTGGTAGTAAACCTTGATTCATAAGAAATGTGTCATGTGTCCTCTTCAAGGATCTGAAGACCAGGGTGTGAACTGAATGTCTTTGAACGTCCTGTGTTAATTAAGAATATTTTTATTAATATTAATAATGATTTTTTGACAACAAAATATCACTTGTATAAGTTTCAAAGACATTCATCTCAACTTACTACCATTATTAATATTTTTCGTCTTCACTGTAGAGTAAAAATTGTATTTTTTATCACATAAATAAATAAGACAATAAATAATTTTGTCTTGATTAATATTGCAGATTTTCTGAAATATTAAGCGGTGAGAATTTAAAATAGAATGACTTATTATGGAGTTGAGGTTATTGTTGCGTTTACTCAGCTGACAGCTATGAAGTTAGCTTAGTCTCGAAATATCTCGAATTATCGAAAAAATATCGTCCCTGATTTTTTATTGGGCAAAATAAAAACGCGCGCACTTACTGCGTAAGTATATTTTAAGTTAACATTTTATTGTTATAAAAATTAAATACTTCTTACTTGTAAGAATTTTTGTATTTAAAGAACTAGTAAAAAAAAAAATTCCTCATGTAGAAAATTTAAAAAACTATATGAGCAATTTTTAAAAAATATTTTTTTTAATCAAAAAATTAAAAAAAAAATTCCAAATATCGGCTAATTTAATTTTGATAAAAAAAATCTTATCATTTTTTTTCTAAGTTAAGTTATTTCAGTTTTTAATAAAAAATTATGACATTCAAGTTAGCTGTCACTTGATAATTTTATTTGACAAAAAGATTTGTTCAAAAAATTATTTTTAAAAAATTGCATTTTTTATTTTTTTAAATTTCTAAATGTCAATTTTTTTTTTTTCTTATTTTTTTTGCCGTAATTTATTTGATAATACTTAAGTTAGCCGACGTTTTCAATTTTTTAATTTTTTTTCATTTATTAAATTAGAGCTGAAAATTATTTTTAAAAAATTGCACTATTAGTTTTTCAAGTTTTTCACATGAGAAAAATTTTTTTTAATTTTTTTGTAATAATTTTTTCAGTAAAAAAAAATTCTAAAAATTTTTAGATGTCGGCTAACTAAATTTTCATATTTATTTGTCATCAAATTTTAGAAAATTATTAAATATGTGCTACATTAACTTTCATTAAAAAATTTACTATAACTTAATTAATAATAATTAAAAATAATTAAAGGCGTAAGTAAAAAAATAAATTGACTCTAAGAAAAAAAATGGCACTGTCCCAAAGTAATCACAATAATAGCACCAATAGTAAGAAACAAACAGAGATATCTTCCAGTAATTGGTACTCGAAACATTCTCGCGTTCATTTTTAGCGAAGAAGTATACAACAAAATAGAGTCCAGATCTTCTCCAGGAGTGCCTTGATAAACAAACGGTCTGACTCTAACTTCATGGCCGATACTTTGCATCATTGAACAAGCAGTGGTCAATCGAGCAGCTTGAATGAACGGAACTACCGATATCATAATCCACAGGATGACGTTGACAATGCTGACATACGGAACAAGATTTTCTTTGGAGTCTACACTGTCATACTGAAGCAACCAGGCTGTTCCTGCTGCGGCCCATGACAAGTTAACGACTGTGTAAATACAAACAGCTGGTCCTAGGTCGTCGTTAAAATACTTCAATAATTTTTTAAACTCAAGTATTTCCTAGATTTAAAAAGAAATTGAAAAATTATCTGGATAAATTTTAATTTATTCATCAACTGAATTTAATTTACTATATTTTTTTGCAGTGCGTACCTTCATCCAATCAGTAGCTGGAAGAGTATGTTCAAGTAGTCTAACTTTGAGAAATGACAAATGTGCTACTAATAATTGACCTTGCAAGCAATAGCTAGTAATTATTGTACCCTGGACCATGTCATGCCACAAAGTACAAATAATTAAAAATACTTTAGAAATTTCTTTCAATTGTTTTGGGCTAGAAGCAAAATTTTTATTATTTTTCTGTCAGTAATTAGAATTAATAATTTAAATTGTTATAATTTTTATTTAAGGCTTCTAATACTCACCTTTTGTCAAGCCATTGAAATCTAATAGTTCCTTGCGCCATCATGATATTGACAGTAATCAAAGCCATTGTCATCCAGACAACGCTGAGTCCAATAAAAAGCCATAAGATTCTTACGAGTTTCTTCTGATTTCCTCGATTCACAGAATTAGAAGACAGCAAAAATGCTCTCTCCATTAGATTGGGCAATTGTTCATTCTCTTGAATTCGGAACAAGTAAACAGTGTACAAGTATGCTACCAGATGAAGAGTACTGGGAATTAAGTAGCTGAAAATTGCATTTCCGTAGCAAATTTGCTCGTAAGCTTGCGCTCGAGTTATGTTTTCAATTACTTCGTACTTGACTGGCAAAAGTTTGTAGCAAAATCCACGATCTCTTCTGTAAATTATTATTTACTCTTAACAGAAATCTTAAATTTTTTTAGATTTTTATAATAATTAAATTATTATAAAATAATTTTAGTAAAAAAATTTCATTTAGAGAAATTAAAAAAAATGAAATTGAAATTAAAAGACATATGAAAATTTTTTTATAAAAAACAGTATAGAAAATAATTTTCAAAAAATTGTATTTTTTATTTTTCAAAGCTTGTGAAGATAGAATTTTTTAAAATGAATTTTTTGCTATAATTTATTTATAAAAAAATTATCAAATGTCCCTCAATTTCAAGTATTATAAAAAAATAATAAGTGTGAATTTCTAAAAATATTTTTTTCATTACAATTGATTTTTTGTAAAAATTTCAAGAATTGTTTGATGTCTGCTGATTTCATTCGATAAAAAAAATAAACTTTAATCAAGTAAATAATTTTGAAGAACTTCATCTTCTTAATTTGAGTAGGAAAATTCTTAAATAAAAAATTTAAGTAAATTTTACTTGATTAAAGAATTTTTCGTCTTGATTCAAGACAATTAAATTCTTCAAAATTATTTTATAGGTTCAAGAATTTTTTTCTTGATTAACATTAATTTTTTTTTTTTTTCAGCGTATCATAATTTAAGTTTATGATGAATTAGTGATGAATGAAAAAATTTGTAGATTACCTGAAGCAAGCCATATACTGAAGAATATATCCTATGCACATAAAAATAGTTACTTGAAAAGTATGAAAATTTGAGAGTACGCAGTACCTCGAAAAATGATCAGAATCTGAATTGGTGGGTTTCAGGCCCATCACTGCAAGAAGTCGAAGGTAAGGTCTCAAGATTTTGCATTTGCAGTAGTGAAGAACTGCAGAAGTGCTTAAATTTTCGTAATCTGGCGTCTCTGTTATTAATCCGGCCTGTTTAAAAATTAATTAATTAATATTTTAATTAAATAATTTTTTAAAAGCAAAAATACCTCTGTGCTACGTAATTGTAAATCTGATAGCACTGATGAGCGTGTATCGACAAGGTGCTGAATTTCAGAAGAGTCTTTTCCATTTGAACTGCTAGCGTCAACGTTTGTCTAAAAAAAATCCACGATCTCTTCTGTAAATTATTATTTACTCTTAACAGAAATCTTAAATTTTTTTAGATTTTTATAATAATTAAATTATTATAAAATAATTTTAGTAAAAAAATTTCATTTAGAGAAATTAAAAAAAATGAAATTGAAATTAAAAGACATATGAAAATTTTTTTATAAAAAACAGTATAGAAAATAATTTTCAAAAAATTGTATTTTTTATTTTTCAAAGCTTGTGAAGATAGAATTTTTTAAAATGAATTTTTTGCTATAATTTATTTATAAAAAAATTATCAAATGTCCCTCAATTTCAAGTATTATAAAAAAATAATAAGTGTGAATTTCTAAAAATATTTTTTTCATTACAATTGATTTTTTGTAAAAATTTCAAGAATTGTTTGATGTCTGCTGATTTCATTCGATAAAAAAAATAAACTTTAATCAAGTAAATAATTTTGAAGAACTTCATCTTCTTAATTTGAGTAGGAAAATTCTTAAATAAAAAATTTAAGTAAATTTTACTTGATTAAAGAATTTTTCGTCTTGATTCAAGACAATTAAATTCTTCAAAATTATTTTATAGGTTCAAGAATTTTTTTCTTGATTAACATTAATTTTTTTTCATAATTTAATCATCATAATTTAAGTTTATGATGAATTAGTGATGAATGAAAAAATTTGTAGATTACCTGAAGCAAGCCATATACTGAAGAATATATCCTATGCACATAAAAATAGTTACTTGAAAAGTATGAAAATTTGAGAGTACGCAGTACCTCGAAAAATGATCAGAATCTGAATTGGTGGGTTTCAGGCCCATCACTGCAAGAAGTCGAAGGTAAGGTCTCAAGATTTTGCATTTGCAGTAGTGAAGAACTGCAGAAGTGCTTAAATTTTCGTAATCTGGCGTCTCTGTTATTAATCCGGCCTGTTTAAAAATTAATTAATTAATATTTTAATTAAATAATTTTTTAAAAGCAAAAATACCTCTGTGCTACGTAATTGTAAATCTGATAGCACTGATGAGCGTGTATCGACAAGGTGCTGAATTTCAGAAGAGTCTTTTCCATTTGAACTGCTAGCGTCAACGTTTGTCTAAAAAAAAACTACTCTGATGTAAAAATTTTATTTCATCGTGATTGAATTAATTTACAATAACTATCAAATGTAATTGTTTACATTTTTATGATCCGAAAAATATAAATCATTTTTATCTGTGCGTCCCATATCGATATTGTGATCGAAAATTAATTTTAGTTTGTAATTTATGAATTTTTTTTTTTATAAAGCAAAAAAATGAAATTTGAGAAGAGATCAGTTCAAATCAGTTGTCTAATAAGAACTTATTGTAACTTACCATTGTAATAATAACAAAAAAAAAATATCATTCCCCACGTACTTGTCGGTCAATATACATAAACTCCGTTTTAAAAATTCTACAATACATTGCTAAATTTTTATCACCCTTGAGATGACTTTTCACCTTTCAGGCGATATTCTCTTTCACTGAGTGTGGAATATTTATATTTTTTTTTTATACAACCGATACTAATTTTTATTAACAATAAAAATGAGTGATTATATTTTTATCTCTACAAGTATCTTACAATAAATTGACACCTGTTAGCGCATCGATAAAAATACATACTGCTAGTTTTTAATTAATCTTTTATTAATATGTACAGAGGATTAAAAATGAATAAAAATCATATTTAAATAAAATATATTATTTATTAATATTTTCTCTTCCCAATGTTACCAGCAGGTCGTAAAACGCCTTTCAAATGAGCTCTATTGTGCTCTCTACCGGCACCTCTGCCTTTTCCAAATTTATTCTGTAACAAATAACACAAAGTTAAACTAAATTCACAAAAGAAAATTTTTTGAATTAATTTATTAAATTTTAATATTTACTTTACTGCTGTTGATATTAAATGTCATCTCTCTGCTCCCTCTGGACACCTTAATACCATCTGAATTGCTTTCGAATTTTGATTTTCCGTCGAACGTCGATCTAAAATAAATTAATCTTGTATTAGAAAACGCGGGTAATGAATAAAAAAAAATTAATTTACTTATACTTTCTATTGATTCGAAAACTCAAAAATGTATTATTCATAATTTTATAAAAATGCTACCAACAAAAATATTTATAAAAATATTTTTATATAACACGGGACAAGGTAAAAAATCAACCAGTTAAAGCAAAAAATCCTAGAAAATTTAGATCCGCCTCCACCCGGTAGTAAGTGTTTTTTTTAATTAACATAATAATAATTTTCTTAATAAATAAATATTCATATAATTAAATTTCTAAATCACTTATAAAGATATCAATTTTTTTCTCGTGTGTAAATAATTTTTTAACATCCAATTTTTTTTTTTTAAATAATAGACTAGCAGCAACACCAAGCTCGGGTAATAAATACAACATAACTTACCTTTTTTTTGTCGACACAAAGGGTTTTCCTCTGCGGAATTCCACACCCTCTTGAACTTCAACGAATTTTGGTTGTTTCAGAATTTTACCCTCAGATTTTTCTTTTTCATCAGCTTCTGATTCTTCATCCTCTTCAGCTTCCCTTCTACTTCTCTTTAACTGCCGATACTTCTTTTTAAATTCCTCAGTCCAGGGTTTCTCGTCGTCAGAACTCGAGTCATGGCGCAGTAACTCTTCATCGGAGTCTTCGCGTTCTTTATAGATAAAAAAACAAAATAAAATGATCAATTTTTTTAATTATTTTCCAACTATACTCATATAATCAAAAAATAATAATAAAAAAAAATAATTACAATTTTATAACTTTTATTATTATTATTATTATTATGATGAAAAAAAAAATTATCAATAACAGTAATAATAATAATAATAATAATAATAATAAATACTTACGTTCATCTTCGTCAAAAGCAGTAAGTATTTTTTCTTTAGACTCTTTAGCTTCAAGAGCGCGTAATTGCTTCTGTTTACTTTTATCCAGCTGTGCAACAACTGGGAAGTGTCGAACATATTCTTCTGAGTTTTTGTCGACTTGAAAATCTGAATTGCTGAAAAGTCCCTTGAAACGATCATCCTTGAGTAAACCAATAGATCCTTTCTTTTTGTTTTCGCTCAATTTGAAAGCAAGTTCCTTATTAATCTCAGGAAGCTTGTTAATCTGGATTTTGCTCGCACGTTCTTCATTCACCTTCTCGCGGATCTTTTTATTCTTGAACTCCTCGTAAGAGAATGGTTTTATGGCGTCTACAGCTTTACGCCACAACCTAATGTCCATGAAGTAACCATGCATGTAAGCTCGTAACATATTCGTGCCTTTAAGATCCGAGAATCCTAGTTCTTCCAACTCTTTTTCAGTAACAAACTTGTAATTATCGTACACGGTTTCAAAGTTAGTTTCTTCCATATCTTCAATCATACTGTCCAACCAATGGCACCAAGAAGGTGCAGGTCCAAGGTTCGGTATGTAATACGATTGGATTTTTGGATCTTCATTAGCGATAAACAGTAAACCTGAATCTGGTACCACACACAAGTCATTAAATTCTGCTGTTGATTGTATTGATGTGTACAATTTTCCCTGTTTAATAAAAATTAATTGAAATGTTAATTAAAAACAACTTTAATAAAGCAATTTATCATTTAAGTAAGTAATTAATTAAACATACCGTGTTCTTTTCCCATATTTTAACTATAGAACTATCCATTGAATAAACTAGATCCATTTGATTATGAAATTCAAGCCCTCTGATTGGCAAACCGTTCATCTGATCTTTTACCAAGAAAGGTTTGTTAGATCTGATGTCGTAGAGTAATATTTGACCTGTCGCTGTTCCTACACCCATCGTTAATCCATCTTGGAATTTTAGAGAGGTCACTGATGGTACTTCATCCATACTACAAACAATAATCTATATTATTAAGAGAATAAGAGAATTTTTGTGGCCAGTGTATTTATATGATAAAATAGGTTTTTATGGTTAAATTTGATATCATTAGAAAGGTCCTTAACCTGGAGTTGTGCCTTTTCAAGGTTTCATATCATTCTCACCAATAGTCAATTTATGATGATAAGTAATTATGGCTGCATTCAAAAATGCTATATCTCTAGATACATAATTAAAAAATGACCTTTTATCTTGTGAAATATTGACATTTTTAAAGATATAAGCTCATCCCGATGTTACACTCATCAAGACCTTTTATTTGAGTACCCACATCAATTTTTCATATATTTATATATATTATATATATGTATATATGAAAAATATATCAAAATGCATGTGGGTACTCAAATACAAGTTCTTGATGAGTGTAACATCGGGATGAGCCTATATCTTAAAAAATGTCAATAATTAAGAAATGACCTTGTATCTTGTGAACTATTGACATTTTTAAAGATATAAGCTCATCGCGATGTTACACTCATCAAGACCTTTCATTTGAGTACCCACATCAATTTTTCATATATTTATATATATTATATATATAAATATATGAAAAAATATATCAAAATGCATGTGGGTACTCAAAATAAAAAGCTCTTAATGAGTGTAATATCGGGATGAGCTTATATCTTTAAAAAACGTCAATGAGCTTTCATTTGAGTACTCACATGCATTTTTATATATTTTTCATATATACATATATATAATATACATAAATATATCAAAAATGCATGTGGGTACTCAAATACAAGTTCTTGATGAGTGTAACATCGGGATGAGCCTATATCTTAAAAAATGTCAATAATTAAGAAATGACCTTGTATCTTGTGAACTATTGACATTTTTAAAGATATAAGCTCATCGCGATGTTACACTCATCAAGACCTTTCATTTGAGTACCCACATCAATTTTTCATATATTTATATATATTATATATATGTATATATGAAAAATATATCAAAATGCATGTGGGTACTCAAATAAAAGCTCTTAATGAGTGTAATATCGGGATGAGCTTATATCTTTAAGAACGTCAATATTTAAAAAAGTACAGTGCAATTTAACAAAAGTCATTATTTAATAAAGCAAAATTTTATTTATTTATAGTTCGCAAATCCCGGCAGTCACATAGTAACTGCAAGGCTGCTAGTTTAATTAATCGCAGTTTTAATTTATTTTTAAAAATAATTACCTTTGATTTTGTGTTGCGAGATAAAAAGCGCAATCTAAACTACCGACTTTATCTTTAATCCTTGGATCCCAGGCTTCAACTTTTCCTTCCTGGTTACCAACAACCAGAAGATGATGCTCTGGGTTAATAGCACATTTATTTATAGCCGAGGACTCTGATTCGAATGATTTCAAAAATTGCCCTCGCTCCAAATTTAATCTGTAGATTTCATTGCTGTAAATAATAAAAATTAATACCATGCTTAATATTTATCAGTTGTAATAATAATAATAATTGAGATATTTTTTAAAATTACCTGACTCCTACAATAAATAAATCACAAGAAGGATAATGGTACTCCAAATCTCTACCAAATCTAGGTATCCTCAGTCTGTGATGCCTTCCATGCGCTGCATGGATTTCTACATGTCTATCATTTTGCAAAAACACCAGCTGAAAATTAATAATTAAAATTAAAATCCATTTAATTTTTTCATTATAAATATAAATAAAAAATCAAACTTACTTTACTGTAATCATCGGATAAAATTTGAAAATTAATAACTTCTGAATCAAAGCAACGTTCAAATTTCATCGACAGTTCCTTGGTGTCAAAACATCTGACCCTCGGTTTATAAACTCCGGTCGCGAAAATACTCTCGCCATCTCTAGACATTTTAATACACGAACTAATTTGAGGCATGTCAAAGTCCTGGATAAGTTGGATATTTTTCCGTAGACCTAAAAGTAGTTTTTTATTTTTTTAATTCAATTGTTTGAAAACAATCAGCTGTTTGAGTAAAAAAAAAGTCAACAATAATTAGAAATTTTTCAATTAATTAAAAAAAAAAAACTTACGCGCATGTTTTTTAATTAATCTTCTTCTTTTTTCAGCAGGTATCCACTAACAAAATTAAACCAATTGGTTAATATATTATTTTTAGGTTAATAAATAAATAAATGACAAGATAAATTACCTCAGGAATAGAAACTCCGGCGCTGAGATTATAAATTTTTACATCATTGGGACTCGCGACAGGTATCATCTTGATTTATTAATTAAATCAAATTATTTTAGTTAATAATACTTGCTCAAAATAGAACTTTTCAACAAACACGTGGACTATCACTGGTACTGTAATGTGTATACTTGCAATAACTAGATGTAACGTGCGCGCGCAAGCGCGGGTCTACATATTAAGTCCAAGTTTTTTAAAAATATTTTTTCTATAATTAACTTTTATTAAAATCATTAAAATTTTTACATGTCAGCTGATTTTAGTATCATAATAAATAACTTATTAATTAATTAATTAACTTTAATAATAATAATAATAATAATAATTAGAAACTTTTTAAATTTTCTCGCTATCCGTCATTTTTAATTTAGTTATGACACTGAAGTTAGCTGACAGCTGTCAATTTCTCAAATTTTTACAACAAATCAATTACAATAAAAAAAAATGATGAAATTTAAGTTAGCCGACATTTAAAAATTTTTAGAATTTTTTTTAACAATTAAATTGCAAGTTAAAAAATAATTTTAAAAAATTGCACGTATAATTTTTCAAATTTTTGACGTGTGAAATTTTTTCTTTTAATTTCATTGTAACAAGTTTTTCAATAAAAATAATTATTTATTTATTTATTTCTTTATAAAAGACCCAACAGCCAATGGCCATTAACAGGGTCACATAAGTATACAGTTGAAAATACAATATATAAAATTTTTACAAAATCATAATACAATTTTAGATACCAATTAATTTTTATAATTAGATACAATAATTTTTAACTAATTAATTAGTAAATTCAGAAGACAAAATTGACACTAAAAATTAAGACTTAAAGAGAAGACAGCGGCCAAAGGTATTCTGTTAATAATTGAGAATGGTTAATCATTAATTAATTAATTAATTAATAATAATAATAATAATAATTAGAAACTTTTTAAATTTTCTCGCTATCCGTCATTTTTAATTTAGTTATGACACTGAAGTTAGCTGACAGCTGTCAATTTCTCAAATTTTTACAACAAATCAATTACAATAAAAAAAAATGATGAAATTTAAGTTAGCCGACATTTAAAAATTTTTAGAATTTTTTTTAACAATTAAATTGCAAGTTAAAAAATAATTTTAAAAAATTGCACGTATAATTTTTCAAATTTTTGACGTGTGAAATTTTTTCTTTTAATTTCATTGTAACAAGTTTTTCAATAAAAATAATTATTTATTTATTTATTTCTTTATAAAAGACCCAACAGCCAATGGCCATTAACAGGGTCACATAAGTATACAGTTGAAAATACAATATATAAAATTTTTACAAAATCATAATACAATTTTAGATACCAATTAATTTTTATAATTAGATACAATAATTTTTAACTAATTAATTAGTAAATTCAGAAGACAAAATTGACACTAAAAATTAAGACTTAAAGAGAAGACAGCGGCCAAAGGTATTCTGTTAATAATTGAGAATGGTTAATCTAAATTTATTATCATTCCAGTAAATTAAAAAATTATAAAAATTTTTAGACGTCTGCTAACTTCAGTGTCATGTTATCTTTAGTATTGTCAAAATTTTAATAATGGCGCTCTAAATTTTTCATATCAACAGTCGCTTGTAATTATCAACCGAGTAATGCGACGTCATCGTCGGCGTCATACTGCGGGGGCCTCGAGCAAGTATAATAATAATCAGCGTTATTTAAATTCTGGTGACTCACTCTCAGTATGAATTAAAAAATATATTTATCATCAATGTAATCAATATCATCCTAATCACTTCCAAGCTTCCTGTTTGGCTTATCCATACAACCGATCACCTATTTAATTCAACATTAGATTTACTAAAAAAAAAGAGTCAATACCATAAAAGAGCACAACCGAATACGACCCTGAGTCTCCAGCTAATAAGTCATTTATCAATTTCTCAAAGATAAATAATTACGTAGATCTCATTAAACTCATCGATGAAGAAATGAAGATAATTATCACGTCAACCTGTAATTAGTATTAAAAAAAAGTAAGAATAAATTCAGTATAATAAAAATAAATGTTAATTCATTTTTTGGTAAAAAAATTCCAGTAATTTGGTTGGCACCGCTGGCTGACAGTCTATACTCACGGAGAAGATATCGAGGGCAGAGCAGCACATACAGGATAGGACAGGAGATTCTCAGCGGCAACGGGTTGGATGTTGCTTTGGTGGAGGGAAGAGAGAGAGAGAGTTGAAAAGAGGGTGGCGCGACGTGCGAGTTGGAGAGACGACTAGTCGAACGAATCGTGTCGTGGTAGTCTCAAGTCTCTTATCCAAAGACGAGAGTCAACGGTGACTGCTCTGGTATCTCCTGAGTGTCCAGTGTCGTTAAATATTATACAAAGAACATTTATCTACGGTTTTAGTCTCCTAGTGGTGGACAAACGCCGAGTAGTTTGTTAATATAGAAGTAGAGGTGGTAATTTATTATTTTTATTAAGTATTTTTAACCAAAAAATTATACATATTTTTTTTTATTAGATTATAAATATATATCTATATATACATATATGTACAAGTATATATAGATATATATATATATTTAGAGATACAGGTAATTAATTATTAAAGTTGGAGTTTGAGTAATAAAATAGGAATTTATTTTTCTGTTGTGGTGAAGACGTTGATTTGAGGAAGAAATCGCACCGGTTAATCATGAGCTGGCAGGATTACATTGACAAGCAGCTGCTCGCGTCGAGGTGCGTGACGAAAGCAGCAATCGCCGGCCACGATGGAAACCTGTGGGCGAAATCGGACGGCTTTGAAGTGAGTACATTGTTGTATGCTACCTAACAAAATACCGGCCATTAGAATTTAAGCATGACTTTTTAAAAAATTTTTTTTTACTTCATACATTTATTATATTTTTTATTTTACTATTAATCAAAAATAATTATTTATTATTAAAATTTATTTAGACACACACACACCCATCCTAGTTATCAGGTATAATAAAATGTCCGATGAATGAATGCTTTGTTTAAAAACCACCGAATTGCCTCATAATTGTTAAATATTATAATACTATGTGATATTAATGGTATGGTGAGAGAGGAAGATATAATATAATGGATGAGAAGAGGATATTACGAGATAAAACCGACATCTGTACGCCATAATGCCATACCGGGCGCTTGGCCCTCACGATTACTCTCGACGCGGGTAGTCAAGGTCTCTGTGCCGGTTACACGGCATTTTCTAACCCCGAAACGTTATTCCGTTAATATAACAAATATCAAGGGATTAAGCGCGCGTTTGCCACGTAGATGTGCCCAGCTTTTGGTGACCTTTTGCCAATCGCTGAAAAATCGATTTATCTTCTTAAAAAAAAAAATAATTTAAATCAAAAAAAAAACAAAAAAATAAGAAGAAAAAGAAGAAATGGACCTTTAAATAATATCCTGAAAAATCGATTAGCCTTTGAATATAACATATAAATATTCTAAGCTGGGTGATATCAGAGTAGACGTCAGGGCGTGCGCGCATCGATCCAGAATAATGTTTTTTGGTGTTATATCTTTTTGGAATAATCATTTGCTTGATGAGATGTCAAGAAGCGGATAATGACCAAAGTCACGCTGCTTTGCAATTTATTATTGTTATTATATACACAGTACAGTACACGTTATAATATATATCTATATATGTATGGATAAATGTGAATATATATATATATATAAACTAATGACGGATGGATGGATGGATGGATGTAGTTGTATATATTTATTATTATGCCAGAGGTATTATTCTGTCTGGTTTGACAGTATTATCAACTGGCATTGTTACTCCGAGGACAACAGATGAAGCTAAAGCTAAAGGGCTGATATGTTCGCACTCCATACCAAGAGGGTGTGGCAGTGGTATTCGAATTTCGCCAAAACCGGCGTCTCGCGTTGATCGATCTTACAACTTACAACAACCTAAAATGCTTTTTCCTTTTTTATTTTCTACTAGCTCAACATGGCGGTAGTTTTTTTTTTTTTTGATAACTCCGTTATCTCATTTCCTTTTATTTTATCGTTATTTATACTAAAATAATAAAATGATCTGTATAAAAATTATACGACGATAATAGAACAAAAATTCGTAGGAAAAAATATGATAAACGTCAAATAAATCTGACGTTAAATTAATTAACCTGCTGATAGAAGAAAGATTTTTAATTGCTGTTAAAAGTAAATAGAGTAGATTAATTATAATTGTATAAATAGCCATCGAGCATACTATACTATTTATTTTTAATTTAAAAAGTTTACCAGAGAGCTCTGATCTGTCTGAAAGAGTGAAAACGCCTTGGATTTTCATTGTTTCGTTCTTTCTCTAGAGATAGAATTTTTTTATCTTTATCTCATTTAATATTTTTATTTTTTTTTCATAGATCTGTTGTTGTCTATATATGTATTTTCTTTCTTTCTCCCTGTGCATTTGTGCGAGAAGATAAAAGTCGGCAGCTGCCACGCGCGTTGGAGAGTTTGCGTGCACACTTTCCGGTTACGGACGCCAAAATGGCGACAGCCGGCTAAAACGGACGGCATCCTTGCTTCAGGAGCGTATCAAAGATCCTAAAAAAAAAAAGTAATATGAAAAACAATTTACTTATTTTACTTTGTTACAGTTTGCTGGCTCAATATCTACTATTTATTTTCAATTGCTGTAATTAAAATTATAAATTAACATTTAGAGTAACAATTACTGGCGCCGTAACATTAACCACGATAAATAATTAAAAGCAATCAAGATGATAATGATAATTATATACATTAATGAAGAATATTTTCTCTGAATCTATAAGAAGAGTCTAGCTGTGAGAATATTTGAATAAAAAATAAAATATTTGCGTGGTTTGTTGAAACAACTGTCTCTGAATGATTCATCATGAAGCCCAGTGACGTGCCAATCGCTGAGAGTTCCTTGTGACTCACGACAGCTTATTCATACATCCATATATATATAAAAGTACGTATGGATGTATATATATATTTCCTCTCCTTCAATATCGTGTCTCACTTTCCAGCGATATTTCTCACTCGTCCTCGTCCCCTGTGAGCTTTCTCGAACATTCGTTTATTCTGAAACCTGCTCGTCTATGTCATGCCGAGTATACTGGAGTACTATAGAAGAAGAGTATCCTATGGAGAATAGTATATGGTATATATATATATAAATATAATACCAGCCTGGAAGACGATTCACGATGTATTACATTATCCATTTAATGGAGAATGGATGTATAGAACGAATCAAAGAAATAAAATGAAAATGAAACATTTACACAGATGCGTGAGTATTTTATTCGTTTAACTGATTATCTGGTAATCAGTTATTCTAGCTTGTACTCTCGCTCGTCATGATCATGATCAATCTAATGTCCATGACGACCTTGATTGCTGGATTTTCACTGCTATGGTTTTTAAATATAATTTCTCTTGTTTTATATTTGGAGTAAAACCAAATAACGGAATGATACTGAATTAAATAGGCAACTAACAATTTTCATAACAATGAAATTGTAATGAAGAAAATTTATTAAAAAATATTTCACTTGTGAAAATTATGAGTGAATTTTTTTATATACAAAAAAAAAATTAGCTTGAATCAAGTAAATAATTTTGAAGAATTTCATCTTTTTGATTTGAGTTGAAAATTTTTTTAATTTTTTCCCTGATTCAAGTTTTTTTTTTTTCAATGTATTAAATATAATTTCTCTTATTTTGTATTTGGAGTAAAACCAAATAGCAGAATGATACTGAATTAAATAGGCATCTAATAATTTTTATAGCAATAAAATTAAAAAAAAATTAATTTGAATCAAGTAAATAATTTTGAAGAATTTTATCTTTTTGATTTGAGTTGAAAATTTTTTAATTTTTCTTTTCAAGTTAATTTTTTTTTTTTTTTTTTTCAATGTTATGAATTTGTTATGAAAATTTCAAGAATTGTCAAATAAAGGATAATTTTATTTTTAATGATTAATTATTGCTTTGATTGGTATTGCTATTGGTATGAGCAATAATGATAAGGATAAGGATAAGAATAATGATGAAAATGTAATTTACAGTGGTATCAGGTCGTTGGACGATCAGCGAAACAGAAAGGATTTGGAAAACGAAATGTCAAGTAGAGCGTGATACTGTTATCGATCGTCTTTCACTTTCATTCGTCATTGACCATGGAGAGGTTGTGGAGTAGCAAAGACCTCGTGATTTTAATACATACTATTACTTAGTCTTCTGTATGTTGTATGTTGTATGCTGATGGTTGCTATTTTACACGGATAATGCGTAACGTGTATTGAGTACTGGGGATGTATTGTCAGTCATTAACTCATAAATATATTTAAAGTAAAATATATTTATTGTATGCAATGTAAATTTATGATAAGTGTATGACTGGTAGGAGGATAAAGAATAATGGGGAATGGAAGGCACTCGGCTCTCGGGTTTATGTTAACAAACTGGACAAAATAATCGATAGTCGGAATGTCATTTAGACATCAGTTCGTCGGCCTTTACTACGGGGAGGGAGAAAAGGGGAACTACCCAGTACCGATCGATTACCAGTTGTACCAGCATCTACTCTATTTATTTTATTTTATTTACTTATTAATTGCTGGGTTTTAATTATGGTGCTGAGAGTTCTGGGTATTGATACTGAAGGTTGCGATATTAAATTAAATTTTTTTTTTTACTCAAGTTTAAAGCGAAATTAATTTAAAAGTTTTTTTTTGTAAACTTATTTTTAGTTTTAAGTTATTTAAATATTACTTTTAGTGTCATAAGTTTTGAGGATTTAAAAATATGTCACACGCTGAGAAAAATTATTTTTTTTACGTATTAATTCTAGTTTATTTTAATAATAGAAGTATTATTATTAGATATATTTTTCTTAAATTCCCGATGTATACATCGAATTAAAATAGAATTTATTTGGGCTTAATATTGAAAAAAAAATTTTTATTGACAAAATAATTTTTATTAATAATTATTTGATTTTCTATTAAGTAATGGATAGTTAAAAATTAGTATACTGGAAAATAATATAATAACGTGATGTACATTTTTTTTTTTAAATTCAATCTTTTTTATACATTTTATGGCATTAAATTTAGCAGTCACTTGATAATTTTTTAATTTTATTTCACAAATAAATCTTCAGTGAAAAACTATTTTTAAAAAATTGAATTTATAATTTTTTTTAATTTCTACATGTCAATTTTATTTTCTCATTTATTTTTGCCTTAAATTATTTGTTAAAAAAATTCTAAAAATTAATAAATATCGGCTGGATTAATTCTCATATACATCTATATATTTTAGTAATACTCCAAAATTTACTGTACTTATTTGAACATTATCTATGTATATACAATTTATTATTCGGCTTAACGCTTCAGCATTAAAACAAAATAAATAATTGTAAAAAAAAAAAAATTAATAATGATTTTATTTTATTTTTTAGGTAAGCAAAGAAGAGTTGGCAAAATTGGTCCAGGGTTTTGATACCCAGGAAATTCTTACGTCATCAGGCGTGACTTTGGCCGGCAATAGGTATATCTATTTGTCTGGTACGGACCGCGTGATAAGGGCAAAACTTGGAAAAGTTGGTGTCCACTGCATGAAGACATCACAAGCTGTAGTTGTTTCCCTATACGAGGATCCTATTCAACCACAGCAAGCAGCTTCGGTAGTCGAAAAGTTGGGAGACTACCTCATTACTTGTGGCTATTAGGTTTGTAAATACATCCATTTCTATAAATACTTATTCCTATTTAAATTTACAATTATAAATCACATAATATATTTATGAATTCATTCATTCATTTATTTATTTATTTATTTAAAACCGGTGTATTTTTAGTTTTAACCGTTTTAAAAATTAAAACCGAGAAACATGAGACCTAAATCTCACCGGTCTCACTTAAAATTACTGTTAGGCCTCGTACCAAAAGTCTATTTTAATCTCGTGACCATTTAGCTTGTGAGTAAAGAGTAGTATATAGAGCTGATGCTTTTTCGTTGACGCTCAAAATGCACGCATGCTACTTATTCTTCATCTTCTTCTTCTTCTTTTTCTTATTTTCTTCACCAGCTACATAAAACTTTATCTTTCTTACATATTTAACATCCTTAAGGACGTCCTCCGCTCTATCTCGTACTCTAAAATTCACCCACGCATTTTCTCTTATCGATTACCTTGGAGCTTATTTTATTTCCCGGCTTTTTTTTTTTTTTTTTTTTTTTTTATTTTTTTTTTTTTTTTTTTT